GGTACACTATTCTTAAGATCTGGAAGGATATACATAAAACTCATGACAAAGATTAACTCTGGGGAGTAGAGGATCTTCAGCTGGTTACATAGTAATAGTCAAAGTGGACTATAAGTCTACCTAGAACACTAATTTGTCTTGTTTGTTTTTAAGGAAAATATACACATGTATTACTTCTGTGAAACATAAATTAATTTAAAAACAATTTCAGTCTACATTTACAGTTACAAAATTTTAGAATTGACCAGAAGTTTAGAGTTTACCTAGTCCTGCATGTTCCTTTACAAAGACAGATCCTCAAGTTCTTAAGCCCTGGGAGGCAAATGACTCAGCCCAAGTCACATAATTTGTAGTTGGGACCAAGATTTCCAATCCAGAATCCTTTTACTCTGCTATTGCTTAGTGAGTACCAGGCCAGGAAAACAATCTTCTTTTTTCTTATGACAAGGTCTAGAATGTCTTGATTGTTACATCATGGTTTCATAGCAACTTTTATCAAAGTTCAGCAAATTACAAAGGCCATACTTCCATTTGCACCAAAGCTCTACTGGAAGAAAAATACAGATAAGAATTGGACTATAGTTCTTAGGGAAATATTTCATAAGAGATGTTAAGATAAGATAATATCATTATTCTTTGTTTTCTTCTTTTTTGTTAAAGAGTTAACAATGAAAAATGGGATTTTTCAGAAACATCACTGGCTTACAGATATATATATATGTGTGTGTATATATATGTGAGTGTGTGTGTGAATTATTTTAGAGAGTAAAAATTATTATGTATAGTTGTATGTGAGTATATTTTAAAAGTGAAATATAGCAGTTTTCTTTTAGTAATTACCCCTTCTCTCCCACCTCCACTCATTTAAAGATTTTATCCTAGGGGAGTCTTGAATCTCATCTGAGAAATCATGAACTGAAGGTTGTTTCACAGCTGGTACTTTTGACCTAGATTTTCTAAATGTTTTAACCCAGATTTTTTAAATTCCAAAAGAATGCCAACCTGTTCTGGAATGAGGCAATGAATGAAAAACTGACAATGAGCTTGAGAATGAGTTCTCTTTGTTAGTGACAGGAAAACAAGAGACAAGATAAACTTCAAGTTAGGAAAAGTAAGAGAAAAAGCAATCTGGGCTCTGACAATTGATCACTGAACTCTGAATTATTAGTTAAGACCCAGGAAAAGGAGTTCCAAATGTCCAGGTGTTTTTTTCTCCCCCAGATACTGTATGTGTTGTCACAGCCAAAAGGCCAATGGTGCACTGTTATCACAAGAAACATCACAAAAATCACACAAGACAAATCAGAAAATATAGAAATTGGAGCTGGCCATATACAATATCGTGAAAACCAGTTATGAGGTGTCCTGAGTTTCTTTCCTCTAATTTACTTTTCTGTAAGTAAGTCTCCCTTCCACTCCTCTATTCACTCTTCTTACTTCTTGACTTCTGCACACAAAATAATTTCTTATTCTACTGATCTCATTCTGCTCTTGCTCAGATGAAAGAAATGCCTGACTGATAAAGCCTTAAAGTGGTTCATTACATAGAAGATACTTATATCTTATCAGATGTAGTAGAACCTCTTTAACATTTTGCTGCCATAATCCCTTCCTTGGTATACTATCCATTTTCTACTCTATGCTATCTTGTCAATCAACTTATCCCATCCTTCTTCTTTACAGTGGGTAGGTACATGGCCTAGGCTAGACCAATATTCTCTGAACACAGTGCTGTGGGCACATGTCCTAGGTAGAATATGCCCTTTGTGGGCCTGCTTGTCCTCTGGTCCTTTTCTCTCCCTGCTCCTGTTTTGCTTTGTATCACAGAAGGCCTGAGCTTCACAGACTCATGGCTCTAATAGTTTTGGCTGCCTGCAGCCAAAGACATGCTGGGAGACTATAGCACTTAAGTCATGGGCCATGAACAGATAAGAAAGTCCCCCTCCCCCTCTCCCCCTCTCCTCCCTGGCAAGGGCATACTGCATCTCCTTGGTTCCATGTTCCACCATTAACCCTCCCTGGTTTCAGTCCAGGCACTGACTGAAAATTCTTATTTATATCTCCCCCTAAGATAGGTACCAGCTTTCTCCTCTGGGTTTCTGCAGTATTTCCCATTTTGTCTATGAGTTTTTTAAACACCAAGGAACCAACCTTATTCCTTAATTACCCTCTATTTTAAATACTGTGTTTTCTGTTTTCCTGCTGGACAATAACTAGCATTGGAGTCATTCTAATGAAATTTGACTTTTGGGTGTTAAAAGTAAACAGGTCTCTCTTCCTTTTAGATTGTAAGGCTGTGTGATTGGGAAAGCCAATAGCCAATTTTGAGCCACTTTAGAATTTGAGAATAATGTCAAGCAGAAGCACACAGAGATAGAAAAAAAAAAATCCACACACAGTCTTAGAACTCGTTGGTCTGATTACATATAAAGTTAGCATTATCATATATTTTGGGTCCCATACCAGGATACTTGAAAGTAAAAGGGGCTGCTGATAGTACTTAGGACAACAGGCACAAATTGGGACTGGCCTAGGCAGACAGGAATATAGAGTCATTCTGCATAAAACCATCTTGATCCTTGGACTTCACATTAATCAAAAGAGTAAATACCCTTTGACCTTTAACCTAATTTGAGTTTGATTTCTATCACTAAACTAAAGTATTGCTGACTAGTACGTAAGATAAATGTTCAAACAAAAGGAATTATTTTCTACTGGTAGGATTTCAAGGTAGGTAGAAGAATATCACATGAATTAATCTCCACAGTTGCACATTTATAGTACAACTAGGCACATTATATGGAATTTTAATTGCTATACCCCAATTATATGAATAAATGCAAAAAAAACCCAATTATAATTGCTAAGGGAAACACATATACCCCACCCTCAGGTTAAACATGGGTCTTTGGTGATTTTTCCTGTACTTAAAGTGACTCTTATTTAAGATATATTTTCATCTGATCAAAACTTTAGATCAACCACATCTTACAATTTTCTGTGTGTCTAGTTCCTATCTAGGTATAGGCCTATAACACCATAAATAACTGGCCTTTTAGAACTGCTTTTCTTCTTTATTTTCTTCCCTTTATGTTTTTTCATTCTCCTATAAGATCTCACTTATACTGCAGATTAAATAGGCTTGTGTTGGCTTGCCTAATCCAACAGTCATTTATAACTACAAGGTATGATTGAAATATATGATGAATATTTAAATTTTAAAAATTTATTATAGTAAAAAACACATTGGAAAGAACCCCTCTGAAAGCAGCACCCCCCCACACACACACTTTCAACACACTTATCCCATCATTCTTGGCACTTTCTGAAGCAGTGCTAGAAGTCCTCCCTTATGAGTATGTTTATGAGGTATGATAAAAAATATTGTGAATGCTGCTGCCAAATGTCATCCAAAGGAAAGGCAGACTCATAAAGCATTACAGTGTATCTTCATCTTATTCACTGGATCTGGCACTGTGAAACTTTTGGCTCTTTCACAAGGTCAAAATAAAAGTTAAATGATTTGAATTGCTTCAGGACGTTGAGGTTGCCATGATAGTGCAACTAAAGACACTACAAAATAAGACTTCCAGAACTGCTTCACAGAGTGGTAAGAACAATGAGATAAGCATTTGGAGCAAGGGAAATTAATGGCATTGTGTCTTTTACTATAATAATCTTTAAAAATGTATTAACAGTATTTTTCAGTCATACCTCATGTTTACCAACATTCATGTTCTTTAGGGAGTAGTGAGGATATGCTAAGGTCATAAAACAGTCAATAGCATGTTAGCTCCATGCACTCACAACTACTTAGTTTATGGCAAAACAGAAAGCAGCAATTCAAAAATACTCAAGTCCAGCAGGAGTGCTCCCCACTTCAAATGAATCATTTTGTATTTAGGAAGCCATTCATAATTCAAATGTTTGAAATTTCATGAGCAGTTAGATCTTTTAAAAGCTGTCAGGGATGTTTGTACTAACTTTTCACATTTGAATCTGTGTCCTTTATCAATAAAAGTGAAGATATAAAAAGAATTGTAAGAAAACTGAGCAACCCATTAATATGTTCCATGACCCTTTTCTTACAGAGCCAATTTCTCTGGTCACAAAACATGTTCTAATGGAAAAATATTTATCTGCAGAGGTTAAATAGATACCAAATTCTGCATTTGAAATAAAAGTTAAGGATGTATAACTAAAAATATTCAGAGATCTTCTGGTATATACCAGCAACTCCCTATAGTTCATGAGGAATCATTTTGTTCGAGAAAATCAATTTTTCTCCTCTTGGCCTTTCTAGGAAATTGTAAAAGAATTTGTTATAAATTCTACATTTTGGTCAAAGTGTTTCACACAGACTTAATGAAATCAGGAGTAATGACCATCTTGAATGCTGTGTGGAACTCTTCACCTCACTCAAGTAAGAATGTACTGAACACTATAAAAACTACCAAATCCACTATTCCTGATGATAGCAAAACTGAGTTTTATGTAATTCATAATTATGAGAAAAATATTGTGCTGTGGTTAAATCAAATCCTAAACCTCTCAAATTCTCAGAGTTGAGGAGTTTTGAAAAGTGGTTGGATCACAGGGACACTGTAACTGACTTGCTGCTAGGAGGTGGGGTCTGGGTCATGGGATGTGACTTGGAAGGGTATACCCCTAATTTCCTTACTTTCTCTCTCTGCTTACTGGCTGCCATGATGTAAGCAGTTTTTCCTCCACTATGCATGTCTGCCATGCCTTTTTCTGCTTTGGAAGCCAGTCAACCATGGACTGTAGCCATGAACCAAAATAATCTTTTCCTCCTTTAAGTTGTGAGTGTCAGATATTATGTCTCAGCAATAACAAAGTGACTATGACATATAGGAAGACTTTCTAGGAGGACTAGGAAATAAAGGAAGGAAACATAAAATTCATATAATTTGGATTAAAAAGACCACAACAGGTAACAGTTTTACTGTTTAGATGCTTGCGTTTCCTTTGTCACTTTGTCACAGTGTCATTTCCTCGGTCACTGTAGATGGCTCCAGGAGCCTGAAGCGTTCATGTAGGGCTGGAAAGGATTTAAGCATATTATACATTCTTATGCGCAGCCTTAGTGGAGTCAGTGGAGGTTGTGACTTCATTTTTCCAACAGATGAGGACAGTGACTTCAACACTTTGGAAGCTTCACTCTGGAAGATTTTTGTTCTAATAGTGTGGAGTACAAAAATTTGCAGACCCTGCACGTACAATGAAAATTTAATGTTAGTTAAGGTATAGTGTGAAGGAAGAGATTTTATTTTACCCTGCTATCAATTCTTCTTATCATACACATCAGTTACTCAACTTGAATTTGCAGCTGCCACACAAAGTGCTGCATGCAATAATTGATCAAAAAGACCTGAGATCATGTCCCTGCTTGTCACTTGCTGGATGTGAACCTTGGTTTTTTTCCTAATTTCTTATTATCCTAAATTTCTGCAAGAGGCAGATTAACCATGAAAATACTTAGTTCTTCTAGTTCTAACATTCCATGATTCCAGATTTCTTGGTGTGTTTAGCCCCATAACTACAAATTTGATGTATTTAAGAACACCAAAAAATGTAAACTCTTCTGTTCATTGTATTTCTGTTCTTTTCCTATGAAGACCAGATATACATAAGGAATTGAGCCACAGTAAAGTATTTTAAAATGCAGTTAAAATTTCTTAAAATAGTGTAGACAGTATAATTTTTAAATTGCATGATAAACTTTAATTTTGCCAAAAAACTATGTGGCAAGAAGAAATTTTAGTTATTTTAATTTTATAAGATT